AGAGAGAAATCGCCATCGGAGTCGGAATCGTCGACAATTTCCTGAAGAAGACGTTTCTGTCGCCGGAAAACGACGAGGAGAAGCTTAATCCGGTTGATTACGCCGCTGACAGTAGCAAGAAGGGCAATAATGACGGCGCTCCATTGCCAGAGATGAAGGGATTGTGAAATCGTTTGAAAGCCAGAACGGGAGGCGAAAATTTGGGGTAGAAGAGACGGATTGTGCAAGGAAGCCATGTCGGAATCGAGGCCACCTAACCTGTTAATTACAGGAACCTCCATAGCCTCCAAAGCTTAGAACTGATTAGAACAGAGTGAAGAACAGGGAGAGATTTAAAGAAAATTGGGGAATCCAAATTGGGAATATTCGGAGGAAGATGAAAGGGGAATGGAAAAGATGCGGCGGCGGAGAGGAGGCGGAAATGGCAGAACGGAGGGATTTTTAAGGACGAAACAGAAGAGGAGGTTAAAATCAACGCTCCTACGCTTTCTATTATTATTATTTTTTTAAAAGAATATTCATAATTTTTTTAAAGTTTCCAATAATGACATTAAATTTTCATAACAATAATTAAAAAAAAAAAACTATTTTCTCTCTCCTAATTTATTTTTTTATTTATTTCCCTATTTTTTTTTTTAAATATCCTCTTAATCTCTTTGAAAATTATATATATATATATATATATATATATATATATATATATATATTTTAAAATTAGATATATTTTAAAGACTTAGAAATGAAGGAATAAAGTATATTTTTATTTAAAGAAAATAATAATAATAGGTTTATTTATTTATTTATTTAAAGGGGGTACGGTTGAAAATGAAGAGATAATTTTGTTAATTGAGGCTAAATTCAAAAATAAAAGAGTGACGTGTAAGAGAGGGATTGGCTACGTGGGAGACTGAGAGAGACCACGTCAGCAACAAAAGCGACACATGGGAAAATATTAATTTTTTTTTTGAGAAATTCATAATTTTGTTAACGGCGAGAAGGAAGATGGGAACGGACGGAATCAAATTCATAATATTCGGTCATCTGGAGAAAATGTGCGGTCAGAAATTGGTGGGGTTCACTAAACTACCACTGGGATTTTGACACGTGGAGATGAATCGTACCTGACTTTTGAAGTTTGTTCTTTGTGGCCGGTACTGTGATCGGAGGAGCACCTCATAAAGTATTGTGATTTTTATTTTAAAAGGTTAAAAATTTAATTAATTTTAGACTAAATTAATAACTCTAAATTTAAAATAAAAATTAACTTTTAAAAATATCCTTAAAATTTTAAACGTTTCATAATTTTTTTTAAAAAAATATTTAAATTTTTAAAAGTATTTCTAATATTCTTAAATATTTTTTTAAAAGTTAAAAAATATCATTATCATCATACATGGATTAAAATGTTAATCCTTAAATTTTTTAATATTAAATTAAAAAAAACGAATGTTCAATTTTATATTATAATTCTAAAAAAATAATTGTTGGTAAATAATATTATAATCTTTTAAAAAAATTAATATTAAAAAAATAATTCAATATATATATATATATATATATATATATATATATATATATATATATATATATATTATAATTTATTGAATAATTTCACATATTTTTTAATAAAAAATTAGTGATGAATTAAGAGAAAATTCATGGTCAATTATTGTTGGTAAATAATCATGAATTTTAACTTTAATTTTAATTTTAAATTTTTAAATGAGGGATATAATATATTGTGATAATTAACAAATAAATCTTAATCTTATATAGCAAGCAATGTAATTTTAAATATTTTATAAATGGTAATACAACAAATTCATTCCAAATTTGCCTTTTCCACTGAATATCTCATTCTGCCATGCATTGGCTCCGATACAATTACGTTACTCGGTAGGGAGACGGTTAACCGCCCTACCAATGAAATGTGTGGGACGTTATGACTTCTAGGTATGATCATGATAAGTCTTAAGAGAAATTCAAGTCCCATTATAATATTTTGTCCGGCTTTACTTATTCATTGGATCTTAGGTGAGGTTCTCCTTCACCAACCGAACTCAACTCATGCATAAACAAGTTTATTCATTGAAACATGTGCGTGCATGCTTACTTACTTGCTACTCTAGTTGACTTGCTTATTAGGCCAAGTCTTCGACTCGACCTTACCTCTATTCTAGGTAGAGGTCAAGGTCTTTCAAATACAACAACGCATCTCGTCTTATCATCTTAGTTTTCTATAACATGACTCACACCTCATGATGCCATTGCAAATTCTAAGATTTCATCAGTCTTCACTGGTTGCTCAGACGCACTTATCGAGAATCGACTCCATGAATCAACTATATCATCGACACATCCTGAACATCCATCCATCTGGGTACTATCGAGCCATGAATCATTGCATGTACATGCTAAGTCATTTTTGGAAATCGTATCGAAGAACTACCCCATATACTAATCTCCGACTCAAGGGTTGAGGTGCAAGATTGACACACTCCTGCAGACAATGTTTTTAAAAAATCATTTCTAAAGGAAGACGTCCAAGACACTCATATTGTAAAACTCATCCACACCATAACACATGCATGTGACATGGGGTTGCCCACTTAGACCATAGTGTCTGGGGGTGGTAGAGAGTTGACATTATGACTGTATACCTAAAAAGAATGATATTTATGACTGTTTCTCCAAAATGCTTCATAGTAATGAAGATAGCGTTTCTCATCTATAAACTCGTGATCTTCCCCTTAATCAGTCAATGCGGGACTACTCTTTCAACAATCCTCCTCTTAAACAAAGTATATCATAGAGCCTCTCCTGAGTCCTATAGAACCCACGAACAACCTCCCCTTAATCGAGACTCGACTCCTTCTCTAGAACCCTCGAACAAAGTACACCATTTATTCAACACTTGAGTCACTTTTAACTACACCTTCAAAACTCATAGCTTCTTTGTTTGACACTTGAGGATTCTATTAATGCACTGTAACCTATTAGTGGAGGACGTTTTTTGAATTCTATATTATATTTCTCGCCCTCGTAATATTTTAATAGTTCACGTGTTGGGTTTATGAAGACCGGGTCTCAATAATACACGTGCAAAGGATGATTTGTGTTTTCCTTATGAATTAAAAACGTGAGAATTGGTTATTCAACCCATTTTACTCGTGCGTTAAAAGATTGGCCATTTTTGTAATTTGGGTTTGAATAATTATTTAAAATATATATAAAGAATGATATCAAATAAGGAAATAAATATATTATGAAATATATGGACCACAATTTACATAGAAATTGAATAAGACTTTTTTTAAAATTTTTAATTTTTAATTTTATTTTTAATGACTCCACAAAATTAAAAGTCAAATTTATCATAGTGTGGTGACGTCATATACAAGATGTTTATACCGACCACTTTTATTTATTTATTTATTTATTTTAAGAATTACACCGGCCACTTTTTGGAATCATATTTTTAATTAAATAAATTAATATAATATGAATATTGATTAATTTTGTTTTTTAATTTTTAAAATTTATGTTTGTTTTTCCATCGTAAACATATATGAATTATTAATTAAATTTTAAAAATTAAATTAAATTTTAAAATTACTTTTTTAATTCTTTTAAAAATTAAATGATAATCTAGCCTACTACTATTAAAGCGAAGTGAAAACAAGTAATCCTTCGTTCCTTTCTCCCTATTAGTATTAGTTAGTCTCATTGTTTGCTGAGCGTCTCTATCTTCTATCCTTATTCTTTTCATTTGAAGAAAGGTAAGACACACCAACCGAGTTGATTTTGACAGTGTTTGTTGAAAGGAGGAGTAGTAAAGTCAAGCTACTAGACGAACCAAAGAAAGAGCTACTTCAGCTTAGCTTATTAATTCAATCCTGAGGAGCAACTACTTACTCGGTAACCTTATACTCAATGACTTTTACTGACAGTTAAGTAAATAAATGAAAAGAAATGATTGAAGAACTCTTGAACCTTAGGATGAGAAGAAGAATCAACCTTCACCCTTTTATTTTACTAATTGAACTGAACGAGACTCGGGTGGAACTATTCTTGATATGGTCCTTTCTTTCCCTGAAAAGACAGTAAACGAAGAAAGACTGAACCTGAACCTAATTTCACTCATGAACCTTTACTAATTTCACTCTTTTACTTACATGGGCGGGATGAGAAGAATCAGGTAAAGTGCTCCTATTTCATTCACTCTTAAGATAATATGCCTTAAATTGAGGTTAGAAAGCATATGTTAGATGTGTACATCGAACCTGACAACCAAACAACCAAGACCTATCCAACTCAACAGCGATAATTAAAATAAAGAAAAAAAAAATAAACAGAGTTTGCTTATTTGAAACGCCCTGTGATCTTCAACCAATTTTATGCTTCAATATAATTATCGAGAGTAAGTGTTACAGCTTGTTTCCAATACTCAGCAGCTTGATTGAACCAAGCCTCCGCAATTTCAAAATCTCCTTGTCAAATGACCTGTTCTCCCCGATCGAAATAGGCAAGTAAAGAACTGTATTTGAGAGGTTCCTACCTCATATGGCACAACAGACAATTCTTTTGGTGTCCCATAATTTAGAACCTTTAGAACCTGACAACCAAACAACCTGGACCTACCCAAGTCAACGGTTTGAGTTGGGTAGAATAAAAATTCCGAGTTAACTTGAACCGAATCAAATCTTATAAAATATTTTAAGATAACTTACATATTCACGAATTTACCACCGTGGTAATCGTTATATGTTTTAAAATTAATTGGATAATTATTATTTTTTTTCTTTTTTGTGATTTTTATTTTAATAAACGAAATTAAGAAATGTATTAAAAATGACATTGAAAACAGCAAAAGGGTAACGGTTCCATAATTTAAAACTTTACCTTAACTACTTCCACAAATGAATAGAGACCCTTTTGGAATGTTAGCTTCAGCGTGACAGAGCACTTGACATATCTCATATGAGCACAACGAAATTGAATGCCTTTCTATACTGTTCATACTTTCTGAGATTTCTTGCATTCATCACTCTATTTAAGCACAGATTCAAACACAAAAATGAATCAAATCACCAGAAGAACAAGAACAGGAGATAAAAATGAAGCCCTGCAGAGCTTTCATGGCAGGTCTTCTAGTGTTCTTGGTGTTCATCTTTCCTGTTAGCTTTGGTTGGGGCCTCGATGGCCATTTTACCATCTGCAAGATCGCTCAGGTTCTTGATCTTCACATTCATTGAAACCAATTCCCCCATGTTTACCTCTTTGATGAAGAATTTGATGTTTGTTTTTGCTTGCGACAGTCGCGGTTGAGCAGAGCAGCAGCTGATGCAGTGCAGCGACTGTTGCCTGAGTATGCAAATGGTGAATTAGCGAACGTTTGTATTTGGGCTGATCGAATCAAGTTTCGATATCGATGGTCATCGGCTCTTCATTATGTTAATACTCCAGAATCCCTTTGCACTTACCAATATGCCAGTTGAGTATCCCCTTTCTGTTGTTCTAATTTCTCTCACCTTTCTGGTTCTGAATTTTTATCGTTTGGGTCGAAAGGGGATTGCAAAGACGAAAATGGAGTGGAAGGTCGGTGCGTTGCAGGGGCCATTAACAACTATACTTCCCAGCTTTTGACCTACAAAACTCGATCTTCTTCGTCTCAATGTAATTTTCAAGAGAATTGAGAAGTTAGTGCCTATAACAACTCAAACTCACTGCTAACAAATATTGTATCTTTGGGTTTTTTTTCTTTCGGAATTCTCTTCAAGGTTTTTAAAACGCGTCTACGAGGGAGAGGTTTCCACACTCTTATAAAGAATACTCTGTCGTCAACTGATGTGGGATCTCACAATCCACTTTCCTTCGAGTCCTAGTGTCCTCGCTGGCACTCGTTCCCCTCCAATCAATACGGGATCTCACAATACACCCCCCCCCCCCCCCCCCCCCNACCCCCCCCCCCCCTCCCCCTTCGGAGCTCAGCATCCTCGCTGGCACTCGTTCGCCACTCCAAGCGATGTGGGATCTAACAATCACAATGTAGAGGTTTCCACACCCTTAAAAAAAATGTTTTGTCCCCAACTGATGTGGGATCTCATAATCCACCCCCCGAAGGGCCCAACGTCCTCGCTGGCCCTCGTCATTCCCCTCTCCAATTGATATAGAATCTCACAATACACCCCCCCCCCTTTGGAGCTCAACGTCCTCATTGACACTCGTTTCTCTCTCCAACCGATGTGGGATCTCACAGTCACAATGTAGAGGTTTCCACACCCTTATAAAAAAAGTTTCGTTCTCTTCCCCAACCCATGCAGGATCTCACAATCCACCTCTCTTTGGAACCCAGCGTCCTCGCTGACACTTGTTCCCCTCTCCAATCGATATAGGATCTCATAATACACCCTCTTCAGGACCCAATGTCCTCACTGCTACTCGTCCCTCTCTTCAATCGATGTGGGGTCTCACAATCACAATCTAGCAGACATGTTTTAAAAACCTTAAGGGGAAGCCTGAAAGAGAAAAACCCAAAAAGGACAATATCTACTAGCAATGGACTTCGGCTGTTATAGTGCTAATGACCAATGATGAATAGATCAATTTGCTAATATGCTAAAACTTCCATCACCAGATAACCTAACTGAAGCACTACTTTTTCTTTCACATTTCATGGGAGACATCCATCAGGTAAGACTTGGAGTTTGCCCACATGTGTAAAATTATTTACTAAGATGAGCTTACATAAAATGCAGCCTCTTCATGTTGGGTTTGCTGAAGACAAGGGAGGAAACACGATTGAAGTTCACTGGTACACCAGGAAGCAAAATCTACACCATGTAAACATAATAACCCAACTTCAACAGTATGTCCTGGCATGTTCAAGTTTGCATCAATGATAAAACACAGTTGCTTATGATTCTTACAGATATGGGATAGCAACATCATCGAGACAGCAGAAGAAAAGTTCTACGACTCGAGTGTGAACGGCCTGATCGATGCAATCCAAATGAATATTACGGTCAAGAAACATAGTCTAAAGCTTGGTTCTAATTGTTTCGTAGCGATTCTAATGTGTTTTTCTACCATTTTGCTGTTTCTGAACAGAAGGAATGGACAGATGAAGTTGAAGAATGGGTAAAGTGTAATTCTAAGACGATAGCATGCACAGATATGTATGTGCCAAAAGAAACAATCTGTTGATCCTTCAATTAAGAGCATAAAGTTCCACTAATTTACCCTAAGTTTCCATTGAAATATGCAGTTATGCATCAGAAAGTATCCGAGCAGCCTGTGACTGGGCATACAAAGGCGTAACCGAAGGGGCTACGCTAGCAGGTATAATCAAAGCTTGTTTGAATTGTTCTTAGAGCAGAAGAGTTTTTTAACTTAAAAAATACGTGCAGCGAAATATTTTTCGACCCGAGTGCCAGTAGTGTACCTGCGGTTGGCACAAGGCGGTGTCAGATTAGCAGCTGTTTTGAATAGCATCTTTGGTTGACAGATTTTCTTCAAGTTTATACTCTAAGGAAAGGCCTGCATGAAATAGTTGAGTTTCAAGTTAGTCCTGAAAAGCTTACCATAACTATGCTTCTGTAATCTTAGCATCATAAGATGAATAAAGTTCTTCCTGGAATATCATTCTCCTTTACTGATTTACTTCTTTTTAGTGTCTTTACCTAGTCCCAGCCACTTTGAGCTTAGCATCTTCCTTGCCAATTATATTTGTCACTCCGTACAAAAAGAGAGAAAACGAGCCATATTGAAAGCACGTTTCCCTTTTTAAGGATAAAATGTGTAACAGCTCAAATCCACCGCTAGCAGATATTGTCTGTTTTGGTCAGTTACGTATCGCCGTCAGCCTCACAGTTTTAAAATGCGTATGCTAGGGAGAGGTTTCCACACCCTTATAAGGAATGTTTCGTTCTCCTCTCCAACCAATGTGGGATCTCACAATCCACCTCCCCTTAAGGGTCAGCGTCCTCGTTGGCATACCGCTCGGTGTCTAGCTCTAATACCATTTGTAACAGCCCAAGCCCACTATTAAAAAAGATTGTCCACTTTGGCCCGTTATCGTCGTCAACCTCACGGTTTTAAAATGCGTCTGCTAGAGAGAGGTTTCCACACCCTTAAAAGGAATGTTTTGTTCTCCTTTACAACTGATGTGGGATCTCACAATCCAGTCCTCTTAAGGGCCAACGTCTTCATTGGCACACCGCCCGATGTCTGGCTCTGATACCATTAGTAACAGCCCAAGCCCACCACTAGCATATATTGTCCGCTTTGACTCATTACGTATTGTCGTCAGCTTCACAGTTTTAAAACGTGTTTACTAAGGACATATTTCCACACCTTTATAAGGAATGCTTCATTCCCCTCTCCAACTGATGTGGGATCTCACAATCCACCCCCTTAGGAGCTAGCATCCTCGCTAGCACACCGCCCGGTGTCTGACTCTGATACCATTTGTAACACTCCAAGCCCACCGTTAGCATATATTGTCCGCTTTGGCCCATTACATATCGTCATCAGCCTCACGGTTTTAAAACACATCTGCTAGGGAGAGGTTTCCACGCCCTTATAAGGAATACTTCGTTCTCCTCTCCAACCGATGTGGGATCTCACAAAATGCAACAAAAATATGACATTTTTTCTGGAACAACAAAGATAGCTCTTCTTTACAACCGTGAATTTGTAAATTACGACGTCAAGTACACAATCGTAATATCTTTTATTACAAGTCCTGCGATTGAAACTCGGTAAAACGAGTTAGTCATGCAAACAATAGTACAAAGCTAACATTTGGAAGATACTCCTAAGCAACAAAATATTAGTGGGAAACGCAGCACACCTCATTTTCCTATGGTTTCTTCACGACAAGGACAGGGCACTTGGCATTTTGAACACAGTAGTTGCTCACACTCCCGATCAGAGCTCTGTATGAGATATATATTAATTTCATCAGCATCCAGAACATAAACCCACAATAGGTAACGATACCGGAAAACAAAAACGATTAGGTAACGAGATTGGAAAGCAAGAACATGTAAATGTATTCATACAAGTCAATAGACACTCTGCAACAAATAAGAAGCAAGAACACGAGCTTGCAAACTCGTCAGTTTGCGTGTGTTCTTGCACCAAATGATAATCGTTCATAACAAAACAACATCAACAAATTCGAGACGCTGAAATCAACGGCATTGTAAAAGCAAATTTAGACAAAAACTCTTCTCCTGAGCACTACTGGTTGTGTAAGAAAGAAAACGAAGAATAACCTCTTAATTCTCCCAATGCCATGATCACCCAAAACAAGCAAATTTATATTGAGCTTTTCAACTGTATCACATATCATCCTTCCAGGTTCCCCAACCTCTGTGATGGATATTGCAGCCACCTGCAGATATTGATAAATAGCAACAACTTTATGTTCCTAATATCATTCAGCATATAATTTATGCCATCAAGAAATACACATTCAACACAATTCTTCTTCAAATATGAACATTCATACCCCTCTTTCAGCACAGATATCTTTTGCTTTCTCTAGGATGCCGCATCTAACTTTCTTATCATTCTCTTGAAGCGTATGAGCCAACTCCGTATCTGTTGTGCACAATCAAGTTCACTCTGAATCAATGCCTTTTTCTTAATCAATCTAGCAGACAGAGACATTTCTTCGAACTAGAAAGAATCCATTAACAAAACGGGAATGGGATTATTTCAATTCATCATTTAGCAGCCAAGGAGTCATCGATATCTATGAATCACTCGCGATTAAACTACGCAAATCATGGCTTAAACTGAAAGTGTTTGAATAAAAGTAAAAATTAGCAATGCTTAACTGGATGCAACAGGGAAATACGATCGCGCGAGGCCGAGAGAGGCACCGGCACCGGAGGTATAACTGGTGGGCGGAGGTAGAGCCGTGAAGACGAAAAGAGGCGAGTCGGCAATGGATTGTTTAAGATTTTCCAGTACCCAGATTAGAGCATAGTAGCTACACTCACTCTCGTCTACGGCCACCATCACCCTCTTCTCCACATCAGGGTTTGATTTCTTTGCTTCAGCCATTTCTGCAAAGGGTGGAAGAGGAAGAACTGTGAAACCCCAGAAAGTGAAGCCTAAGCTCTTGAGTGTCCGCTACTTGAATTGACGGTGGTTCTAGTTCACACCTCAATCAACTCAAGCTCACCATTAATAGATATTATCATAATTTTATTTTTTAAATTATTGTTGGATGTGTATGTCGTTATATGGATTGTTACATAGATGTTATTAGTTGTCATGTCTATTCATCATGAAAATAATTGTTAGGTTGTAGCGTGGGGTGACGAGCAGAGTGGAAAGACGGTCAAAAGACAACTCAAAGTTTTACATTTTAATTTACTATTTAAGACATATTTTTAAATTATTTAAGATAGAGCATATATATATTTTGTAAATTACTTTAGCATGTCGGCATGTATTAAATTTTTGATTGTTTAGTAACGACTCCAATCGACGCATGTGCAGAAAGTCAGGTCGTTACCGTTGGTATCAGAGTCAGACACTGAACGACATGTCAGTGAGGATGCGGCCCCCAAGAAGAAAGATAGTGGATTGTGAGATCTCATATTGGTTGAAGAGGGGAACTAAACATTCTTTGTAAGGGTGTGGAAACCTCTTCTCGATAGTCAGACGTGTTTTAAAACAGTGAAGCTGGCGATGATATGTAAATGACTAAAATGGAAAATATCAACTATCGATGTGGTTAAACATAATATGCTACTCGTCGATTCATAACTTGAGCAAATTTGGCTCCATCTTTGTTATCGTCTTTAATCCCGACCGTTGATCTGTTAGACTGATTATGATCATGAATAAATTGAGCAAATTTGGATAAATATTTTTGTGGGATCTGCATTGGACGATGATTTTTATTAAGCCAAACTCTCGTCACCTGTGCCTCTAAGATTGCCTACACATACAAAAATAAGATCAATTAAAGTAAGAGACGTTTATTTAACATGTCGAGCCCGTTTCAAGTAGACCCCGAAAATGCTAGAGACGTTTAGATAGATATATACTAAACGTGACTAGGAAATGTACTAACCTCCATATTTGGTAGCTTGAAAATTTTGTGCTCGATGTAGATGCGAGCTTTTGAGATGTCCAAAAACCTCATCTTAAGAACAAATCGACCTCCACTCTGTTTGCAATTGAAATGGATTATTTGTAGGAAAACGCTACTCATAACTGAATTATTATTGCTATAAGGATCACCAAGTGGTTCATACTCTAAGTGACGAAAGGAACTTCAAAGACGTCTCTGATAGAGCTAACGACTCCCCGTCACAGGTAATTGCATCAAGACTCACATCTATACTATTTAACCATTCGTGATGAGCTGCTTAATTAAAGTATTAATTTCATTAATGTTGTTTTCATAAAAAAAAAAAGAATAAATATAATAAGTCAATTTAAACATAATTCAACAGATAATTTATATTTTCACCGCAGTAACAATAATCAGAATAAACAGCATTATTGACGACACCGTACTGATCCAACTCACAATCACCAACTTTCATCTCATAGACTATAAACCCAACCATTCGAGAAGGGTTTGGTTGAATAGCAGTGTTAGTACTGAGATCAAATGTTCGTGGGGAGAGCATTTGGGAGTTGCCATAGCCAATGTCGATAGGCGAGAGACGTTGCAAAAAAGAGGCGAAGGGACAAGAGTTTGGGATTAGTGGTAGCTGAAATTTGAATCGTATTTACGAAAACGTGCAACATTTTGATACAATTCACATTCTTTGGAGCGTTAGTGATTAATATATATTAATGGAGACGTTGCCTTTTGCATTTATCACTCTTCATTAACGAGACTGGAGACATTAATCAATTTTTTTGTTCGGGTTAGAGATTCTAATCTTCACACTCACGACTCAGTGGTAAGAATTCGAACGTCCGACCTTTGAAATAGAATTATCTTTCAATTTTGTCTTAACGACTAAATTAATTATTATCGATAAATATAAAATAAAATTAGTGTTATTTTTCGTGGGAGACATTTAATATATTCTTATTATTAATTAAAATCAAAGCTTAAAATAAAAATATTAAAAAATAAATAAAAACATGTGTTCTTTAGCTCTGTATTAAGATATTAATTCAAAGTAATACTAATATTAAATAATCATAAAAGAAATCATTTATTACTAATTAAATCACTACAATACCTATTACCAAATCTCTATCCACGTATTATTGACCAAAAAAATAATTTATTTGGTGAGAAATAATTAAACAAATATTAATATTAAATATAATTATTAAACAAAGAATTAAAAAAAATTAAGCTGATTCATTTATATAATCTGAAAAAAAATAAATAATTTAGAATTTTAAATGATTGAATTTATAAACTTTAGGGATATAAATTGATTAAAAAAAATACATTAAACAAATAATTTATCACAAAAAGTTTGTAATTAAAATTCATTAAGGCTTATTAAAGTAATAAATACTAATTAATTTATATTAATTATGCTATTACATCCCATTATTTTTTCATCCATATAAATAAATTTTTATTTTTAAAATTACCTTTAATTACTTTATCTTTATACTTAACTACTACTAATCATGGATTAAGAACAATTAATTAAATTATTTTTTTAAAATCGGAGACGAATTTAAAATGTTAATTCCAAATAAATCAAATAATAAAAAGCTTGAAAATAATAAATGATATTTTAGAATTTTTATATAATTATGATGCATTAATTAATAAACTTTTCAACAAATAGATGTAAATTAATTTATCATAACAAATCTATAATTTAATGGAATAAACAATTTTAATTTAAATTCATAAATTTACTAATTTCAATGATGTCAATATTTTTTAAAAATTTAATCAAAATTTCAATAAATCTACGGAAAAAAACATTATTTAAGTAGTTTGGTTTAATTTATTAAAGTTGAATAATGAGAGAGACACGAAGATTAAGGAGACAGGATTATACCAATACACTTCGCGACACACTCTTCAGATTATATCAATACACTTCGACACACCCTTCAAACTAAGTAATAGGAATCATTTATTCTCCATTTGCTTACTCATGAATTATACAAATATCTCATAACTGTAAGGGATACACAATCTCTCGGGGGAATATGATATAACTAGAAACTCAAATTTCAACGACACACTCCTCATCAGTGTATAAGTGTGAAATTTTTATACAGTCGTCAAAGGATATGATTTAGAATTCAAAGGACACAAATGTTCGATTGATATAATAGTAAGTTCGTCTCATCAAATGACATAAACCTAAGTGAATCAGGCTGATATTCATGTTGTGTAAAGATGTACCACGCTATTTGAGTAGCAGTGGTCTGAGTATAAGTGAAAGCAAGACTTCATCGCTATGCATTTAGTATATGAATCAGATATTTGCTTCATTGTGAGATGGGCAAAAGCAAAATACCTCAACGATATCGACCCAAAGTCGATCACTTCGAGTCATGATCCCGAACGAACTGAGCAAACTTGGATTGAAATTCTTGCGGGATACGCACTGGACGATAGCTTTTGTTGAGCCAAACTGCTGTAGCCTTTGCCTCCAAGATTGGCTAGGGAAAGAAAACAGGACAGGAAATGGGTTACGAGGTTCTAGGCATCCAGACAAGGTAAACAAACTGATATCAAAATTAATGGTTCCATTGCTTACCTCCATGTTTGGAAGCTTGAAAATGAAATGATCGATGTAGAAGCGAGCAGCTGACATCCCCGAGATCCTGACCTTAACAACAAATCTGTCTCCGCTCTAGTTGGATGCATCAAGGCAGCATAAGTAGTAAGATATTAAGTAAACTATGTAATCAATCATCAGTTGTACCAACAAATTGCATCATACTTTAAGTGGTGCAAGGAACTTCAAAGACAATTCTGATAAAGCTAATGCATCGCCATCACGAGCAACTGCATCAGGACTGAGGCCTATGCTTTCCAGCAGTTCATGACGACCTGATTAAGATTTTGATTAAAAAGTCTTGAAAAGCAATTATAATGTGATTTCACTAAGAATTTCAGTTCTACATTCAAGAAATCAAGCTACAACTGATCAATGATTCAAAATCTTGGTGGTGAAAAAGTTCTTGTATCTGTTTCATAACTCAATCTAGGTCGAGAAACACTTCAAAGTTCAGAGGCTACCACAAAATCATTTACGAGCAACCGTTAGAGTCCAATATTTTACTTCTTCGAGACTAATGCCCCCCAAAGTTTAGGCTTGTCAACAATAGTATTCGACTATCAAGAACAGAGGGTAGTTTAAAAACCTTGAGGAGAAACCCGAAATAGATAGTCCAAAAAGGATAATATCCGCTAGTGGTGAGTTTCGGCTATTACAAAATGGTACCAAAGCCAAACACCGGGCGATGTGTCAGCAAGGAGGCTAAGCCCCGAAGGGGGTGGGCATGAGGTGGTGTGCCAGCAGGACGCTGGATCCCGAAGGGGGTGGATTGGAGAGACCCACATTGATTGGAGAAGGAAACGAATGCCAGGGAAGATGCTTGCCTCGAAGAGAGGTGGATTATGAGATCCCACGTTGATTGGGGAGGAGAACGAAACATTCTTTATAAAGGTGTGGAAACCTCTCACTAGCAAATGCGTTTTACAAATCTTGAGGGGAAGCCCGAAAGAAAAAGCCAAAAGAGGACGATATGAAATAAAATGCTTATGAGTACGTGAATCAACCATATCAATGCTCTTTTGAACAGAAATTCTGGACCCATTGGACGTAGACAAACACCAACATTTGCAGTGGTGAAGGCTCCACATTTCATTTTCAACAATCTACAAACTTCTAGTGAGGACAAATAAATTCCTAATTCATACACACATCACTTATAGCATATACAAACTTCTTGATTTTACCATGTTGGCAATAACTCGCATAAACAGCATTGTTGACAACCCCAAACTGATCCAGCTCATAGTCACGAACTTTGAGCTCAACATCTAGGAAGCCATCCATCCTGTAATGGCTAAGGTATTCAATCTTTTACATTTTTCAGCAAGGACTAGGCATTACATCAGGATAATTTAAACAGAAACAACAATCGCAATGCAAAAGGATAAACATCGAAAGAACCAATCCCTAATTGAAGAACCCGATGCAATATATATAAACAAATCAACACTCCACTCGAATTCCAAACACGAGTAAATAAATAAAACTATTACCAGTACAACAGCCAATTCGTTCACCTAAAATCATAATCAATTATATTTTCCTCGAGAGAGGGGACGAGGGGTCAAAATGCGCGAAGGTCCAGTAATGTCGAGCAAGCAGAAGCCATGGGAGAGAACAATATGTCAAAGATCTTGGCATAGAATGCTAATTGGGAAGAAGACATTAAGAATTATTTATTAAGGTACCCTTTTCCGGCTTTGAGTTGAAATGAAGAAGAAATGGAGCTTCTCGTTACTGAGGGTGATCGCAGACGTAACGATGTCGGCGACGGCCGACTGATGGGGCAGACAAGTGATGAAGGGAATGCGAGTCCTGCTGTCTTGTAATGAAACGCCGGAGGCGGCGATTGAATCGGGTTAATGGAAGCCTGCAACATCGCGCAGTTTCTAGCTCTGTCGCCGATGCAGGAGTTCTGAATGGGAATCCAAAAATATCGATGCAAATTAATTTGGGATTTTAATTTAATTAATCCATTAATGTAATTTATTATAATGGCCTATTGGTTGTGTCCATTTCTAGCGAGAGGGCGCGGGTTCGATACTCACTCTTGATTATGATATTTGTTTTTTTTCATCTTTTGACGTGGATAAATACAATTTTTTAAATAATTAAAGAAAAAAAAACTCAACCGAAAAGCAGAGAGTTAGGTTGGTTGAATGATTGAGTTATGAACTCTATTTGAGTGGCTCCATAGAGTGGTTGGGTTATGAACTCTATTTGAGTGGTTCCATAGAACGGTTGGATTATGAATTCTATTTGAGTGAGTGGCTCCATAGAACAGTTGGATTATGAATTCTATTTGAGTGGCTCCACTATTAGGTTGGGTTATGAACTCTATTGGAGTGACTCCAAGGTTAAATTGGATTATAAATTTTATTTGAGATGAAATTTCAATTTTTGTAATAGTCAATTTTTAAAATAAAAAAAATTACAAAAAAAATCATATTCTACTTTTTTTTTTTTTTAATATTTTAAAATAATTATTATTAACATGAGAAAAAGAGAGGAAAATAGATTATATGAAGTTTCTCGTCTTTTAATATTAAACATGGTTAAAGTTGGTGGAGGAGAATTAGAGCGAGAAAGACCGTTTTGTAGTTTTAATTAGGTAGGTAGGTCAAACACTCTCACGAGATCAATAATTCATCGACCATGGTCTTGAATAGTATGCACTTAACGACCTTATACGTCATATTTGACCTAGATAATTTACCGTGCTCTGTTACACTCATCTCGTCACTCTCGACAATATCGTTTGTTAATATCAACCCGGTAGGTCACACATTCAATCGTTTAATCTCTCAATTAAGAAAATACCGATAAAATTTTGATATCTTGGATAATTCTTTACAAATTATTAAAAAAATAATAATAAAAAATCCATAAAAGTGTAAATTTTGTCCACATGTAAACCAGTGTATCAAAGAAGCAAGGGCAGAACGCCACGGAGGAAGAATTCAACACCAACTGGCACCATCTGCCAAATTCCTCTGATTAACCCAACCTGACCTGACCCACT